GATTACAAACTCCCAAATTGACCATTACCTCGAACGCGACTACCTGTTTCGTCCCGATCACCTGACCCCGAAATTCATCCCGATCCACTCTACCTACGGTAACCCTCGATCATCGTGAATCAATGTCTCTTATGTGTACTTTCACGACGTAGAAGAAGTCTCCATTGCTGATACCGAGTAAACGACAATAAGTGATCCTCTGGTAGTACACAGGAGGAGACGATGAGGAGACAATGAGAAGAAAATGAAGAGACAATGAAGAGAAGATGAAGATCGTCAATGAAGAGACGACATGGAGACGATGAAGATACGGCAAGGGGACAAAATGAAGAGTCAATGAAGAAATGACAAGGAGACGATGAAGAGACGATGAAGAAATGATAAGGAGACAATGAGGAGATAATGAAGAGACAATGAAGAGAGGATGAAGAAACGATGAAGAGACGACGAAGAAACGATGAAGAAACGAAGAAAAGACGACAAGGAGACGATGAAGAGACGGCAAGGGCACAAAATGAAGAGACGATAAAAATATGAAAAGGAGAGGATGAAGAGAGGACGAAGAAATGACAAAGAGACGATGAAGAGACAATGAAGAAACGACAAGGAGTCGATGAAGAGGTGATGGAACGAAAAGGAGACGACGAAGAGACGATGAAGAGACTAAGGGGATACGATGAAGAGACTACGAAGAGACGACGAAGGAAAAGCCTGACAACGATATACGCGAGATCGAACGGGACAGGCTGCTTAGCATATTCGTCATTCTAGCAGGAAGATCGCGTTAACCACCTGTGGCGACGCGGAGAGCATCGACGTCTCAGAACCAAAGGGATCGCTCACAACTTGTCAGAGGTGGTCGAGGAGTCGCCTGGATCACGCATAGGTGAAAGTCGTTATCCGTTCCATTAACGAGCCGAACCACGAGGCGTCATGGGATCGAGACAGTCCACGAGAATCGCTTCGTAACAGGGGAATTACCATGGCGAAGCTGCTTCGGTCATTAGAGGCTCCGCCATTCGCCGTGGTTACGTTTCGAAAACGGAAATCGTGACGAAACCTCGCAGAGGCAGAACTCGCGTGTTGCCTCGTGGCTTTTCGGATCTTAATGACGGTGGCTCTGTCTCGTTATTAGACAGATCTCCTTTTCTCTTCCGTTTCTGCTAGGCCCCGGCCAGGACCCACAGCTCCGCAGTCTTCGACGGGTTTCCCCTGGCCTAGAGTCCATTTGCTTCCTTTTCGAGGCTATTTGCGGCTCACCCTGTCACGATACCGTCCTCCTGTTTTTCTCGGAATACTCGATATATTGTAGGCTAGATGTTGCTCGTTACGACTTTTTTCGAGCCTCCTCGCGAAATCGCGTGAGGGACACGTTTTTAGGGATTTTCTTTCTCCACTGAACGATGAAATTGAGGTTCCCCTGTTTGTCGAATCGACTAACCTCGAGGAGCAAAAGGTGCAGGAGTCTGAGGAAGATTGGAAAATCGAGTTGACCGCCTTGGATTATGAACGAATTATGAAATTAGCGTGGAACAGAGCAAACAGCTGTCAACTTGTTCGTTGACACGTTGACTGGGATGACGACTAGACCCGTCACGATTCGTCCATATCGGTTGTCAATTACGTACTTCGCGTACTCGTTTTCTCGAATAAAGATTATACCTGGTGACACGTTTTTGGGGATTTTCTTTCTCCACTGAACGATGAAATTGAGGTTCCCCTGTTTGTCGAATCGACTAACCTCGAGGAGCAAAAGGTGCAGGAGTCTGAGGAAGATTGGAAAATCGAGTTGACCGCTTTGGATTATGAACGAATTATGAAATTAGCGTGGAACAGAGCAAACAGCTGTCAACTTGTTCGTTGACACGTTGACTGGGATGACGACTCGACCCGTCACGATTCGTCCATATCGGGTGTTAATTACACACCTCGCGTACTCGTTTTCTCGAATAAAGATTGTCCCAAGTAATGGGAACCTTTTCTCGGAAAGTTTTGCCGAATTTACGACCCAATTTCGCCCGGGGATTCGCGAATAAGCGGCGACGGTGTTGCAATGTAAATGCCGGGTGAAGTGGTAACAATGTTACTACGTAGAGCACGTTAAGTAATAACTCAATCTCTCGAGACGTCATTATCGTCGCCTCGCGTGTCTCGGAATCGAATGCCAGCAACGGTTTTCGTTCTGGGCCCGAAAATCAGCCCGCAGGGTTCGCGTAAACGTTTCCCTGGACTATTCCTTAATGCACGGATCGCATGACGTCGAAATTTCGGTCAAACCAGGCCCAACAATCGCTCCATGGTGCCCCGAATCCACCGACAGGCACTCCTTTCTCTTCGGAGTTTTCTGCCGATTCGCTGCCAGCCGACCACGACGGAACCTCGCTAATTCCTCGCTTCTTCCACGATTCCTCCAATTATCTAATACCCGCCGAAGTAGAAAATTATAGTTTTCAAAAATCCCGCTTTCCGTCTACTTCCAACTCGGAGCGTCTTCGTACTCGTTTCAAAAAATTGTATTATAAAATATTCCCACGAAAAGGGAGCAAAAATTCGAAACTTCTAAGCAGATGGGTACACGATCGAGATTTTGAAGAAGAACCTAGATCCATGGATCACGAGGGTTGTAGCTAATTGCGAGTAACTGGTGGAACGGAAGAGAGGCACGCGCGGACAGTGTAAAAAATATGGCGTTGAAAAAGTGGCGGTTGTTTTGCCGGGTTTCTTTCCACTTATCAGGTGAATCGGTACATGGGGCCCCGTCAGGGCAGGCCAACGTGGTGGGGAAAGCGCGCGTCTCGTAAATGGCCGATCTACACGACACGTCGCGCGTGCCATTGGCAGTGAAAAACATTTATGGAAACGTGCTTCACCTTTTACGAGTGAAGCCACCGATTACTTAATCCCTTCGGGGAGAGCACCGGGAAAAAATGGCGGTCTGTGAACGGCCTAGGTCATTGCCGGCGTTCCCTCTCGCTCCGGGAAACGCGGATCGATGATTTCAGCCGTTCCAGGAAACATCCCGATTCCTCGATCTCGCCTCTCCTACCTTTTCTAATTTTAATCCACTAACTTCCCGAGCCACGTCTAATTTCCAGGAAGACGCGAGTCCCGGAATTCCAGTTTTCCCAAAAGAGGTCCACGACCAATTACTATTTCAACCGAGATTGATTATCCGAGAATGAAAATTCCTGGTCGAATTCGAAGCTGGAGCTCATCGGGACGACGACCTAAATGTTGTCTAACAATAAGCTCGTTGAACGATGAAAACGAACGATCAAAAATATTACCGGTATATTACCAATATATTGTACCAATCGCACACGACTTGCGTGGACTGTCGTGCCTATTAGAAAAATATAATTCGGGAAAAATTAATTTAATAGATAATAAAATAATTAATACCAAATGATATATTAAATTAAACTACAATCGATAAAGGTGAATAATCGAAACGGGGTACAAATCACGGGCGTGACACGTGGTGTTCACATTCGACCCAACCGACGTACCACGAGCCAGGCCCGTGGTAGTCAGTTTCGGCCCGATACGTGTACCACGTGCCTGGCTCGTGATAATCAGTTTTGGCCCGAAAACCTGACCACGAGCCTCACACGTGGTCGTTGGGTTGACACGACCATTTGCTCCTACCCCTAAAGCTACGTATACACGGTGAGAAAATCCGCGATACTAAAATACCAAAGTCGGAGAATGCGCGTATAAATACCCATAATCGCGATCGCTAACTCGGGCCGAGGAACCGCGGAGCTTGAACCCTCTTCCCGAATTCCTGCGAGGTTCCGTCACGAACTAACGATAACGGAGGAACAGCTGCAAAAGGAATGACGAGAGACGAATTCGAGGGCTCGACCCGCAAAAAGACGACGGTCCCGAAGACCGGTGGCGAGACAGAGGTCAGGGAAACTGCAACGCGGAAGGAGGAAACCGAGACGGTGGTCCAGGAGGACGCGGGACCAAGGGAGGAACGAGAGATCCTGGACCGGTAACAGGTGAAAAAAAGAAAAAAAATGGACAAAAGGACAGGACGGGGACACGGCGGAATGATAAATTCGCGTTCACGCGTGTTTTTTGCCGGCTCGCAACGGCCCCGCTCCTGCTTCGATCCTAATCGACGATCTTACGTCACGGATGCAAAGTTACAACCGGTTTCAGACAGCGAACCAGCCTTACGAACTATGTTTACACGTAACGTGCGTCAGCTTCGGCCCCGTCTCTCCTTCCTTCCTCCTCTTCTTTCTCCTCTCTTCGCAAAGCTCCCGCCGCTCTCGGATTATTTAACGAGGAATCTCTGCTCAGCGAGATGAAATCATCACGAACGGATCGTTCGATCTGCCATTAATCTACACGTCCTCCGCTTCTTTCCGTCCGACGACGTGCGAGTGCCGACGCAAATTTAATCGCGCGACTACGATTCGCGAATGAAACGATTCGAATAATCTCGGAATTTTCGGCGTTCGCGAGAATCGACACGGGTGGTTCCAAAATTCGCAACCCCCTCGGCGCGCAGGAATCCCGGCTCGCCGCGAGAACCGTGGGTGTCCGGTCAACTCCAACCCCCGTGCTCGCATTCTCGAACGAGACAAAATTCGCGAAAAGGGGAAAATAAAATGGAAGGAAAAAGGAAAGGGAAATAAAAAAAAGGGGGTGAAACCGGAAGGGGGGAGGCGGTGGGGTAAAAAACAGAAAGAATAGAGTTCCATCCTCCGTGTCGTCGTTCACTTCTGTTATTTCAATATCCGCGAATGGCCGCACTATCGAATATTGAGTGCCAATATTTGCGCGCTCCTCGGTCCACGTTTATTCTATGTCGAAAATGTTTTTTCGGCGAAGGCAGGGAGAAAGAGAGAGGGATAGAGAGAGAGAGAGAGATAGGAGGAGGGTTGGCGATGAGAGAGGCGACCACGCATAATTAAACCACCTGGCGAGCATGCGTTCACGCCGATTAAGAGATCCAATTAGAGAAAGGCTAGAAGACGACTCACCTTTCTGCAGCTGGCCGTGGTCCGCGTTCATTTTCGCCTGCAACAGAAAGTGCTGCGCTTCACTAAGTAGAATTAGCACGGGGACCGTGAAAATTCCGGCCATTCTGCTAAAATATGTGCAAGCGGTTGGCTCACCTCGTAACCTTGTTTCGCGCCCCGTCCGCCACCCCAATAGTCGCTCTCCTTGTCGTGGGGGTTGCATTGCTGGAACAGAAAGAGCGGCGAGCCGTTAGTTTTTGCCTGGGACTAACTCGATCAGCCTTTCACTACCCTCCCGCTCGTTATTTATTCCTCCAATTTTCCCTAATCGATATCTAATCTCCCGTCTAATCTCTCGCGTAATCTCCCGTCAGTTTCACCCGACTCGCGCGCATCCAACGCGCTGCCAACGTCTGTCAACTGCGTCTTGGCTGCGGGACAGGGGTGGAAACTCGGTCGCGTTGGATGGAATGACAATTCGCAGGAGCGCGTAAAGAGCGTGGATAATTGATCGAGGCTCGTAACGAGAGACGGCGAGGGTTGACAGGGTGGTGGTGCGTGACACGCTGCGAAGCAGTGGAAGTAGCGAGAGCTGGCGGAGGCGTGGGCAGAGAGGGTCGACGATGGCAAAGAGGACAGCGAGGGGTAAAAAGCACCGTCTAGACACAACATAGACGAGGGTGGCGGGCTTAGCCTGTGACCTTGGGCATCACTCGGCCTTCCACGAGAGACAAACAATCCAACCCCCGAACCGTGTTTTTACAGGCATAACTTGTTACGCGAAAACGCGTACTCGAGGCCGTTGCCGAAGAAAGTAGCGAAATATCGCGTCAGTGTTTCGACAGAGAAAAGGAAAGTCGGAGAAAACCCACCCCCGAGTGTAATCCACTGTCCGCTAACGAGATTCCACGCGTAGGAAGTCTTTGGAAACCTTCCCTCGAAGATATTTCATCCCCCTCCCCCCCCGGGTTAAAAGTGAGGCTGTAAATCGGAATATCGGGTGTCACGAGAGGGGAGTCGCTTAAATCTTTCGAATTTGTTCCCAGTAAATCATCCGTCGTCTCGCTAATTGCCGGCTAGGGAGAATTTTTTCCCTCGATCCGTGTTCCCACAACACCGAGCAGGCAGAGAACGGGACGAGCGTGGGCGGTTTAAACGGGCAGCGAGGTACACGTATGACACGAGAGGGATGCCAAGGGACATTAAGGGATGACCTCGTTTCCCTTCTCACGACCTCGTGAACCACAGACGACGCTACCCTCCGCAACTCCGAGGACCTTGCGTGTGGTCACGTATCCATCTCGAAGGACTCGGAATGCTCGCGGTAAAGGGTGGCTCGTTCCAGACGAGGGACGACGTTACACGAGCGATAAGGTAAACGCGAACCCTCGGAATTCTTCTCTGCCCCTAACCTTCCTCGGGAAAATCGCAAAGGAAACGGCTGGAAAGACGTACCACCGCGATCTTTCGAGATATTTCATCCACGATTTTACACGGACTCGGACGTCTTCGAGGAAATTTTGTCTCTTTTTTAGCGGGGTGGGAAGAAGATTTCGAACCATTTCAACGAGATTTATTCTACCTTTATCGGAGGGTGACCCAGGAAGGTAGGTAGAACATAAGCTGCGAAATTTATTAGCGATTAAAAGCTGCAGATAAAGGGACCGTGCGACGAATAGGTCGTAAAACAATGGGAAAATAATTCTTCGAAGACGTCAGCCCCGTCGTAAGTCAACGTTGAAGCTGATTCGTCGATCGACCCAGTTCGTAAGTTCGAATCGATAGCCGGCCATTCGGTGCCGCCGAATTTTACGCCCCCATAAATCCGGTGGCGTAGGGCCGACCTAGAAACCGGGCTAAGGGACACCATAAGGCGTCGAAAGGGCAATGCTTTCGTCTGTCGCTCCACAGGTGGCTCGTGAAACGATCCGATTCTTGCGAGAAAGTCCAAGAACGCGAAGGGATATGCATTTCCCGTGCGAGGATGGTCAGCGCGGCCCTAACGTCGTGGCCAGCTCGCCCTCTCCGCGAACGACCGGATAAAATCCACCCCAGATATTGCCACCCTGTCCGCGAACACTTTTATCGAAACGAAATTTCCGCGCTTTCTCCATTCTACAACGCTTGCCTGTTGATCCATCGACTCGCGAAATTCCGAGGTCCACCGAATATCGTTCTACCTTCCATTCAATCGTGCGCCATTTGAAAATTCGGGAAAATTAATTATTCCGATTAATTTGTTATTTTAAACTCGCTTATCGCGCGAATTAATAAATAAATCGCGAATTATGGAATACTGGAAGAATTTTTCTACCCATTGATATATAAATACAGGCATGCTTCGACCCTCGCGATTGAAAATAAGAGAAAACACCGAAGGGGGTGGGAACCCCTCGCGAGGGGAAAAAGTCGTGACTCGAGGCGTGTACCGGAAGTCGCAGACACGATCCGTTTCTATTTTAAAATCGGAAATCAGAGGAGACAGCAAGGTGGAGTGGCTGACGGTGGGGAGGAGAGCGTGGTCGGGCAGGAACGGACCGATTCATCCCCTAAATCCTGCCGTCTGCCGGCAGATGGTATCGAGATCGGTCACGTGACGTTTCGGATCGGATCCGGTAATGAGAAGAATAATTGAAGAGCTTCGGGTTCCTCGGTCGAGCACTGCGACCGTCTAATGTCGCCCTTTGACATTTGTCTGACATTTCCTGCAAGGGTTGCCGACCCAAATCTCGCTGCTACACCTCCAGACGTATCGATCTCGACCATTTCCACCGATCGATTTCCCTCCGGATACGTTTTATCCGCGCTGCTCGGTCTTTGCCCGAACTTAAAAATCGCGACGAGGTAATTAAAGAGACGGATTAAAGAGCGGATGAAGCTCTTAAGCCGATAAAGCCCCGGGACGAGCGTGTCAACCCGCGAATAGCGATCTTAATGATTCAACGAGGACGAGAGACTTAGCGTGACAAGTTCGTTCAAAGTTACAGCCAAGATTCCGACGTGGTCGACGCGGAGGAAGACGACGGAGTCGCGGTGTATTTGCAAGGAAACAGACGGTAACGAAGGTAATCCCGGTGATCCCGAAGGCTGGCCTGCTTATGAGCCGAAAAGCTTTGACATTTCGCGAAGCAAGGGGCTCTTCACGCGCGAAACTTGCCCCGGCTGGAACTTTATTAAAACCGAGGCAGACCCTGTAAAATTTCCCCACTCGAGGCCTCTCCATTCCGTCACTAAAGCCCCGGAGTTGGTTGATCGAAATATCCACGATCACCCTCGAGCTTCCACCGCATCCTCTTTCAACCCCCGTTTTTCGTGGACACGAAACAGGCCCTTCAAAAATTCAACTCGATAATTTCCATCGAGCCGGAAACGCGACGGCGGGAGAAGGGTGGAGGGGGCGTGCGGGGTGGACGGGTTCGCTGGCTTCGTCCGATCCAACCCTTACGTCCAGGCGAAAACGGTGGCTGGAGGGGCGGGCAAGCGGGTGGGTGGATGGAAAAGGCGAAAAGGAGGGAAAAAATGGAAATACATGCTCCACGATCCCCGGATTGGTAATCCAACCTACCACGAGCAGCTCGAAGGGAAGATAAAGAAGGGAAAAAAAATACATTTTAGCTCGCATCCAGGCGCTGCAGCCACCCTCTCCTCGCTTCCACCCCCTTGGCTCCCACTCCGCTCTATTCCGTACGTCGGTGTAGGTGGTCGGGCCGATAGTCGAGAGAGCGTCCCGATAGCAAAAGGACGCCGACGCCCGGCGTCGGAGGGTGGCCGGGGAAAAAAATCACAAGGACGGGGAAGGAAGAAGGGGTGGGTCGGCGGGAAGAAGAGGAACAGCAGCGGAGAGAGCGAGGGAGAGAGAGAAGGAACGAAGCGAGATCGAAGGAGAGCAAGAAACGGGCTGGATGAAAAAGAAGGGAAAAGAGACAGAGGAAGAGGGCGCTTCGTGCCGCCTGAGCGGCGGGGTGTGGGGGTGGCGGGCGAAACGACCGACCGGGGAGGGAAAAAGGTGTAAAAAAAATAGCGGAGCCGAGGAAACGGGAGGAAAAAATCGGCCAGCCTCCGGGAAGGAGGAGCGCGGCCGGGGAACGAGGGGCGGAAAGATAGAAACGGAGGGGGTGGAAGGATCGCGTAAGGGTGCGAGCAAGAACAAAGAAGAGAGGCGCGATAGGAATAATAGCTGATAGAGAAGGCAGAATTTCTCCATCTCTTCCCAACGCCAGAAATTGAAAATCCTCCTCGTAAATGTTTTCTTTCCCCGGATAATGCTCGCGACCTTCCCCCAAACGCGATTATCGCCCCCTAGCTCTCCGGTAATACTTCTAATTACCCGGCGGAAAGATAAAACGCGATCTCCGTTCGTCCGATATCCGAGTCCAAGGGAGGAAAGAAAAAACCCAATCGAGGGTCGCGAGAAGTTTATCCAAGGACCTTGCGCGACTGGTCCTTGGAGAGGAGCGGATCGAGGAGGAAGGTCGATAAAACTAGCCAGCCTGCCGTGTATCGTTAGCCTACTATCAACGAAGCGGGGAAGCGGCGAAACGTCGCGTGGAAAGAAACGCGACGCGGGTAAACCCGTACACGCGTATGGAAATAGCCGAGAGCCCATGGATCGGAGACGGGGAAAATTCGAGTTCCCGAAAGGACAAGAAGAAGAGTGGCTGGTTGGCCGTGTGTCCGGCGAGAGATAGACGTCGGAGGGGACGAGAGTCGGAGGGGTTGGAAGGGCCAGGAGAGAACGGGCAGGGGTTGGTGGAAGAGGCGCAAAAAGACGAAAGGGAAGAAGACGGGTCGGGCAGGGGGTGGCGGCGGAAGAAAAAGGGGAAGGCGAACGGGAACGGGACGAAGACAGAGAGAGACGCGGTACGAAAAGTGGGTGGTCGGGTGAGAGAAAGGGAGAAAAAAGAGCGAGGGGCGGGAGGGTGGAGGCCGAGGGGCGACGGAGAGAAAGGGAGAAAGAGAGAACGAGGGGCCCACACGGTGCACATGCGTGACCGTCCGTCCGCGTACGAGGCGGCGTGTATTGATCAACCAAAGAGCGCCACGACGCCGGGCGTCCTTTCTGCGAGCCTTGCTTTTTTCGGCACGACGGCCAAGGGTGGAGGAGCTGCTAGATGCTGGCGGACGAAGGGGCGAGGAACGCGAGCGTCGGAGGGAGACCGCGACGCGACCTAGCCCAACAGGACGCCCCTCGTGACGTCACCCTCTCTTTTCTTTATCTGTCGTTA